AAAAAAATAAAGTATAACAATGCATAATATGAAATATTACAAAATAGCACGATGATTTGTCATCAGTTGGCAAACAGTTGTACAAACAAGGAGCAAAATGTTACCCAAAGTCAATCTAAGTTAAAGTAAATTGGGTCTAAATGTCTAATTTAGAAATCAAGCTTTATTCTGTCCAATCTGACATGTCAATTACATTTTTTTGTTTATTTTATTTCAATGACTCTGAAACATAAAAACTTGACAGATAAAAAGAGACAAGCTGTAGTATAAAGAAAGAAAGATAAAAGATTTTCCCATGTGAGCTTTGAGCATGCTATCTAATTACCTAAAGAGGTTTTCAACTATCATTATCCAATCATAGATCAAAAATTAAGAGATTTATCAGTTTAGATAGACTTAATGAATGGAGGGCAGAGTAAATCTAAGGGAACTCAGCAGATTCCAGTCTCTTGCTGTTATTGGTGCATCTCTATTTGGATCAATGATGCAATGAGACCTAGACAAGAACACATAGATGCCACCCGTCCCTTAAAATACAGAATAATCTTTATTTGGAAATTAAACTGTGAAACATAATATTGTACCTTAAAATTATCTCATGTCTTCCTTATTAAATATCAACCTCTAGTCAAGCACACATACTTCCCATAATCAGGACAAAAATAGTGTTGTAACAAAGATAAACTGTTAGCTTCATTCCACCTCAAAATGCAGAAAATGGCGTTTCAGACTCTACGTTTCAAAATTTTTCGGGTAAGGATATTCCCTAGAAATCCTAAGGATGTGATACATCTAGGTGTACATCCTATGAAATATTCCTAGCTAAAAGCTTGCTGCTGATGGAAGAAACTAACAGATTTGTCACATGGGACAGTTGTGATATTTCTCTTTTATAATATACTTCAAGTCGTAGGAAAACGCTAGTTCCAACCGTTGCAGTTCCGAATTCTCCTGAGTGGTGCACAACTTTACATGAGTTAATAAAGTGAATATGATTGGTCGATTATCAAGGGGGCGGGATTGTTCTGGTGGAAGGTTCGAAAGCAACTTTGGTTGTGGCCGGTTGGTCGTAAGCATCTTGCTGACCAGTTAGCAACTTAGTGCTAGTAGGTTCCCAATGGGAAATTCTATTGGGACCAAGTAGCACTAAATTGGTGACTTAGAAACAACACTGTCAAGGAACGCTATGGACAGAGGAAACATGCAAGAGGAGGAGAGTTTTGTGTCGGAGGTCGTGGATGAGTTTCCTCCATCATACATTTTTTCTTTAGAGGAGGAAAGTGGGGACGAAGTGTTGTGAAAGAGGACGCCAGGGCGGCAGAAGCTTGGTTTGGTGTAGAAGGCTTACAGCCGTACATGTTTGAGCTCTTGCCTTAGCCTGATAAACCAGACTAAATGTGAGATTAAATGTGTTATTTAATCCCCGATGAATGAGACATTGGAAGATTGTTGATGAGAACAACCCATTTATCAAACCATGTCTGTGCCTATTGGCCAACGCTCTGACCAATGAGTGCAACTGACTGTGACGTAGTAAGCGCAACAGAAAGCTGGTGGGGGGGTGTAAACAAACAGCCTGCCGGTAAAACAGTGAATACGTCCTTCTCAAAAATGAATGAGCGTGGAGCCTCTTCCTGCTCACGTTTCAACGAAAACCCCAAGTCTAATCCTTCCAAAACTGATTCCAAAGCTGAGTCAAAAATCAGCATCAGAGCCAGTAGTCCTTCACACACGACTATGCCAATATAGGGCTGCTGCAGACGGGCTGCGGTTAGCCCTGGCTGCCATTAGCGTCGGAGCTCCGCTGGTTGCCATGGTCCTCTAAACTTCGGAAATAGTTTTTTTAATTACGCATTAAATCGGTAAATGGACCATATAGTGACGCTTTAAAGTATGATATTATCACCTCAAATGATCTTAAAATGTTTTATTGAAAAACAGCAACAGAAAAGAGAACTTTTAACTTTCAATGGAGCTCCATTGAAACCTGCTGGTGTCGCAGTGCATGCTACTGTTGTGCTTTCTCCAGCGTCGTGCAGCTTTGTCGTCACGCCCTCAAAATCCCGCCCACTTTGCATCCAGACATTCATAACACATCTCTGCATTGTGATTGGCCTGCCAGTTCTAGGGCCTGGGGCATTGATCAAAAATGATTTTGGCCGCTGGTGGGTGGGGCTAGTTTACTAGGCTACCCTTGCCTCGCCTGGGATGAAACTCAATGGGAAAGTAAACAATGATTCTTATTTCAACCGTTGCGTATATTAGCTGCGACATAGGAATCAAGATGCTATGACCCAAAAAATTTGATTGACAGATGACCATTAATATATGATTGCATATATTAATGCCTGGATAAGATAATGGGAAAAAAAAAAACAGATTTTAAGACAGAATTTTTTTTAAATGGAAATTTTTCTAAATTTTGGGACAATATCGTCTGATAAAGAGTACAATTATATACATGTTTAAGCCAGAACAATTTTAAATTTAAATATGACTTCCCTACAACTTTCAACAACTGTTGTGAAATCACAGTTGGCTGCAAGCTTCAGTCCTAAGATAAAAACCTTAGCAAAGTGTATAAGAATTCATTGTAACTGGCCCCCCTCGCCCTGTAGATTTAATCTAGAACCGCCCCTGCACACACGGATAATTAAAATTAATGCAAAAGGGACAAAAAAACAAACAAAAAATCACCACTGCTTACTTTTCTCTGTTAGATCAGGAGTCGGCAACCTTGACTTTAGTATCCCAAATGATGCACCGTTGCCCAGTTTGTTTCATCTTTTTTTATTTGCCCCCCCGCCCCCCTTTGTAGGATAAATAGAATAGAAAACCCATTTATTTTCCCACAAAGGGGGGAAATTCTGGTGTTACAGCAGCAAAAGGTTATAGAAGAAAAATTAGAAAAGTTTATAAGAATTCGTTGTAACTGGGGTTTTTTTGTCCTGTGCCCCCATGACCCCCCCTCGCCCCGTAGATTTCATCTAGAACCACCCCTGCACACACGGATAATTAAAATTAGGGACAAAAACAGACAAAAAATCACCACTACTTACAGTCAGACAAAAACTGACCACATGCTAAAGTGGCTGCAGAGAGCAGGGGCCATATAAGAAAGCTAAAAACACAACATATGAATACGGAAAGGCTCATTTATGTCAACTTTCTTCATTTGCCTGGTCTTAATAAGATCAAAGGGGGGGTCAGTTGGGGTCACGTGAGCAGCCAAAGGTCTGAACTGATGCTGAACAATAAAGAAAGAGCAGCTAGCCGTTTTTTCAGCTTCTTTATCGAAGCTGGAGGCTAACAGCCGCAGTACAGACCCCCTAACTTTAAAGATGGAGTTGGCTTACTTTTTAAAGTCGGCGCTGAAAAGTCCAAAGGCAGCCCCGGAGCTGGAGGAGGTCGGGGTGGTCTCCTGCCCCGCTTCAACCGCAGCCTCCGCTCCTCCCTGCTGGTCGTTGTACAAAGCTGTGGTCGACATGACTTCGCTTCTAGAGAGAAAAACTTACTGTTTTAAGAGCTTAGAACTCCTCATTAACCTATCAGGAAAAGCTCGCTTTGAAAGTTTGAGCAGAGCTAAACTTCTACCAGATTCTTCACAACTTTTCTTTTTTCTTTTTACACGCAGAAGCGGAAGTGTGAGTTGGACAAGTTGGCGTCACATGACTGCTTCAGCTGCAGCCCGACCATAGATGTAGAACGACTAGAAAACGCTACTGGCAAAACAAATATGTGGGGAATTAATTCAATAAGGTTTCAATTCGGTTTATTTATATAGCGTAAAATCACAACACATGTCATCTAGAGGCACTTTACAGTTCACCAGATCATACAGTCAAATTGATTTAAAGTTTTCTATTTAAGGAAAACCAGTTGATGCAATCCCTCACACTAAGCATGCTTGTAGCGACAGTGGAGAGGAAAAACTCCCTTGTAACAGGAAGAAACCTGCAGCAGAACCGGTATCGTAAGCAGAGACAGCAGTTCCTTAGGGGCCCCCGACCTTTTAGGGGCCCCGTCACTGACACCTGGTGGCCCCCCAACGCATTTGTGGACTAGAACGCCCCCTCGCAGATGTAATAGTGCAAAAAAATTCCTCTTTCACCCACCTGATACTAGGTTACCTGACCGGACCGTATTTATACCCCAACACATGCCAGATTTCAACATGATGGTGAGCCGTTTAAACACGACACCAATAGCAAAGTAGACAGTGGTACTTTTAATTACTATGTTAATAACTGTGTATATTTCATTAGATGGTTGCTAGCAACCATTAAAAGGTAATGCATCTAAAGCTAACTCAACTACAGAAAAATGAAAGTAATAAACTCACCGTTGAGTTAGCGTTAGCTTGCATGACCGGCTCCGTGATGCTGGTTTTCCTTCCGTATTAGCGCCACAAGCGTCATGTCACATGACTAAGGAAACGTAACGGGATTGGCTGGGTGTTGGACACCACAATCCATTGCTAATGTCTGTGACCTGAAGTAACCCTTCCCTTTTTACACTGAATTTAGACACCAAATATAAGACAGTGAAATAGAGCCAGTTGAATCTCAGGAGGTTGAAAATATTGAGTTTTTATCTTTTTAACACTCAAAAGTTAATAAGTATTGAAAATGTAATCACTTAAATAACAAAATAACAAATGAAATTTCAACTGTGTAGAAATAATAATTATTTTTTTTAGGTCAAAAATGCGTTCTGAATATATTTTAACACTGAAACAGTAAGTACAAACATACAACATCTAAATTTTATGGGCATTTTTAATTCAAATCCCAGTGACACAGATTTACTTCCATAAGTTACTATCTCATGAGATAGTATCTAAAAATAATGGGATACTATCTCATTATAATAAGAAAGTATCCCATTATTTGTATCTCTTTTTTTTTTAAACAGTGGCAGAAACGGGCTTCCATATTTTTGGGTCCTTCTGTGCGCTTTGACGTTCATTTACTTCCGCCCTGGGAGTGACGTGTCGTCGTGTCACGCGCGACCCGCTGGCCAATCCTCGGTTGAAACAGTCAACACTTCGCTTCACCTCCACCTGTCAGCTGTTGCTTCAAAGCGAGTCCCCCGGCTTCCAGGTTTCTCGCTCAAAATCAACCCAAACCGCGGACATATTCGGAGAAGCGAGCGGAAGCAGCGTGAAGCTGTCCGTCCAGCAGAACAATGTCGGATTTCGACAGCAACCCTTTCGCCGACAACCCGTTTCAGGTAACGCAGCCTTGCTAGGTTGGCTGCTGTAGCTTTAGCCGTTGGGTTCATACAAAATTCATAGCTATTTGGCAACACTTAGACAGAAAAGTCTTATTCTGGCTGAGTTTTATTAAGATATATTAAAATACTAAAATAAAAACCAACTGAATGTATTCAGTCCAGTTTAGTTGTCACTTTATTTTAGCTTCCATTCACCGTAAATAATGTAAAGCAGGTGTTAGCTCTGTTCAAACTGCGCACTTACTTTTCTACGTTGACCCAGCTCATTTCTAAACTGCATTATATGCTTGTTTATAAACTTTACAAGCCATTACCACGTGAGTGATAAATAGGGAGTAATGAGAGCATAATGGTCCACATTTTTTCCTTCGTTGCAAAATGTCCTCTTTCTTTCTCAGCTACAGACAGCCTTCTGTCTAATGGGGACAGCATGCATTTGATCATGTGCTCTTTGGCCTCTAAACTCCACTCAGTCATATCTGATGTAGTGATCATGCACACAGGAGGCATCTTTTTAGAGGAACTGAAACCTGAATTTATCTAAAACAAAGTCATCATCCAAAGGGTTTATTTATAGAATAACCTGGTTTGTATGTTGATTGACACATTTTTATGTGCAGATGTTTTAAGTGCAGATGAGCTCATTTAAAAATTGGCTCAAATTTTTTAAGTAACTTGAAATTTTACACAAAAACGTAACTTAAGTAAAGGGAAAAAATACAATTCCACCTAAAAGCACATTTTAAAAGATAATGCATATAATGTGAAGCAAGTGTTAGCTTATCTATCTGCACATGTAACTAGTTAGGACCCACTGGTTATAATGTAAATGAGAAAAATGGTTTACCATATTTTGTTAAAATAATGCTAGTTTTCCAGTATATGCACAATAAAGCTGAAAAGAATTATCAAACATGACCAGTTTGCTTTGATTAAAAAAAAATAAAAATACAGATATTATTCCTACTGCTTAATAGGGGTGGGTATTGCCAAAGAAGTCATGATGCGATTCTATAACGATTCATCACGATACTTGAAATATTGCGATGCATCGCGATATTTTCACTTAACACGGTTAGAAAAAAATACAGCCATTACCAGTGGCTGACTGGCTGTGCATGATCTGGATAGTGTCAACAATTGATACAAGCTGAAAGCAACTGAATTCATACATTGCTGTATTTATTGAAACGACTTTTGGCGGTATTTCCATGAAAACAAATACTGGACACACCTATTACTATTACTGGAGCGGTCACATAGGCAAAAAGTGCTTAGGATTTATTAAACTTAAAATAACAAAAATAAGGATAATCAGTTTACATGGCCTCAGTTGTCCTTTAAACCAATGAAATGAAAACATTCAAATGTGACATTTCCCCTTTTGCAAATTACGTGCCTCATATCGATTTTGTTTTTACCTTTTTTTTTTTTTTTAGCCAAAATGCATCCAAATATGTGACTTGAAAAGTAGTATCCTGCGGCCAGAAATGCTTGTGACACAAGGGAGCGGGTGTTAACACATCCGCAGTGACATCTACTAGACTGGAAGTTGTATTCCACTTGTTTTTGGCTGATGTGCTTTATTTATTCTTTTTTTTTTTTTATTAAGAATCGATACTTGGCATCCATAATCAATGCAGTAGATCACAAAAATTAGAACTGCATTGCATCGTCATGACGATTATTTTGCACACACCTACTGCTTAATGAATAATGTGAGTAATATGAATAATATTGGTCATTACAGCTATACGAATTGTCTACGTTTGTTCTTTGCTTACTAATACAGCTTAAACACCGTTAGCATAGCTTTTTTTCTGTGCAGAAGTTTCTCATTTTTCTCTTTATAGAGTATAACAAGCTGGTTAAATAGCAGATTCATCTTTTAGCTGCTTAACAAACAGCTGGGGCGTTTTGATGAAAATTTTTGAACACTCTGCTTTAGTCTATACTGCATTGCCGTCTGGATTTTTACAACTAGAAATATTTAAAATATCTGATTTTTGTCTTTCTAATGAGGGGAAAAGTGTTTATCTGTCTTTCAGCCAGCTGTGCGGCAGTGCTGGTCCTCATTTGTTCATAAAAACATTTCAATAAATGAACTTAAAACCATAAGAATTATGAAATGTTTTCACACTTTTACCTTTATGCCCTTTGCTGGGGACATATTGACCATGTTTTACTTAATGAAACAAAGAATAACAGCAACTCTTTTGTGATTTTCTGAATTGTATACTATTCATTAACAGTAAAAAGTGTACTCTGGCGACGCAGTGTTAGCATTCAGAGCGAGGAGCAGTAAATCATTCATGGGTCTTATTTCCATTCTGACCTGAGCGCTGATCCAGTGTGCTCTCCTGCCTCTTTTTGCTCCTTTGCTGGCTCACACCACCATGCCTAAGGAAGCTCTGGGTTTCCTTTCCTTTCTTGGAGCCATCATCAATACTTCATGGATTCATATGGTGGCCCAACTGGTAACATATGGGACAAATAAGCCCTCCGGTCCTTGAATGCTTTGTCCTACTTCCAAGAAAGTGGGATAATAACAGAAATTAGGCTCTTGTGTCAGTTTTAATATGCAGACATCCCATCTAAACCATCTTCAGATTAATCAGACGGTAGGAACTTGTTAGGAACATTTGCATGGCTGGTTATCCTGCCATAAAGTTAGTGCATACTTTTCTTCGTTTTTATTTTCTAATTGTGCTATAGCCCTTGTTGTGATGTTTACATGGTAATCATTCACAAGGAAGACAGAGGTAGGCTTTTACCAGCTCTTCATTTGAAGGGCCAATTAATTTTAATAATAATGGTTAAAGTATGCTGTTTATTTGCATATAGTACATGGAGACTGGCATTAAATTTTAAGCGAAACATACACTGAAATATTAATGGCCCCAGGTCTGATGACGACTGGTTTGCATGTGTGTGGCTGCGGAAGAGCTGATCAGAGACATTTCAGAGTGTGAGAGGTACAGAGAGGACGGGATGAGGCTGGCGCTTCAGGAATAACACAGATTGGATGTTTAATAAACGCCGCCGATTGAATGAAATTAGTGCAAGGCTAACGGAAACTGATGGTAAGCTTATTAGAAAACTAAATATTCTAGATGTTTTTTTTATCTCTTTTTCTATTTTGATTTAAGTCATTTAAATGTATTTATTTCGTTAAGGCGTTAAGGATTTGCTCTCCTTCTCCATATCAAAGGCTCGACTATTTTTAGCCGCCGTCTTGTGGAAATTATTGGGATTATCTTGTCTTTGCCAGTATTGAATTATAGGCTTGTTATATTTGAATAGAGAGCTCTCTCTAGCCCTTTATGTCAGAGTAATAATGCCGACTTTCACATTATAACAGTGTCTGAAAGCGTAAATCTAATAGAGGGTTACCATTCTTTGCTTTGATTTACAGCTTCAATCTTTTTTTTTTTCTGTCTTGTGAACTTAATAAAAGTATTGCCACATGAAAAAATTATTTCTTTCTTTTGTTCTTCAGGATCCATCAGTGACACAAGCAAGACAGACCAACACTGCAGGGTTGGAGGAGTACAACCCCTTCACAGATGCCAAACCAGTGAGTGCATGCACAGATATCATTACATGTACTAATGAATATAAATTGATCCATTTATTTCTATTGTTTACTTGTTACATAAATACTGTGTAAAATGAACTTTATCTGTTTGGGGAAATGCATAGGGGAGAAATTGAAATTGATTTAAAAAATGACTAACCCTAATTTTTGTAAGAGATTTTATGATTATTATACTAATAAAATTAAAATCTATGACTGACATGTGGCTGCAGAAGTAAACAGCATAAATAAAAGGAAGGGGTCACATCACGAGGACAGGAAAAAAAGGAACATGTGAGCTATGATTCTATGCTTTTTCTGATAAGTTTAGAAAAATCTGAATTTTTCTGTAACCATTTTCTTTGAAAATTGATAAAATATCAACTTTGGATATGAAAAAGGCTTATCCTTCATTAGATGATCATATTCTAACAGCACTTTATAAATTCACGTATTTCTACTTAATACATATATATGTTTTTATGAATTTATTTAGTCTGGTTTGCTACTTTCTCACCTTCATTTAGAAAATTTCACTAATCGGTTAATTTGTTTTGTTTTTTATATACTGACTGGATTTATTTATAATTATATATGATTATAATTTATAATGCATTAATATGTTAATTTTGAATCGATCATGTTAATGGTTTCCTGAAGGAATTCATAACGTGTTTACAATTTTCGCAGATTAGCAAAAATGTATTTGTTTTTTAGACTTTAAATATAGAAAAACCTCAGATTGTGAAAACAGGTTCTGCTCCTTGACTCTTATTTACATAGTTTCTTTTACTGCAGCAGCTTTATCTTATTGAAAAGTCTATCGTTAATTTCTAATGTCGTTAATTTTCTTTGTCATCGTACTCAGCAGTACAGTTCGTTTTGCTTCTCATCACAGTCACTAATTAACAGATAAAAATGTCCTCCGTTTGAAAAAACATTAACTTCCTCCTTTTCTTGTTGCCCACGGTGATGAATTTCTGCCTCATCACCTTATTATCAGAGTTCAACACAGAGCGTAGTGAGCGTATAATCTGACTGACAAACATTAATCGGTTGCTTCCCATGTTGCTTCCTGTGCAGAATCCTGCCGGTACGGCGCCTAAGACTGCAGGCCCTGCGGCCGGCACGCAGCCGGCCATCATGAAGCCTTCAGAGGAGCCTCCTGCGTACTCACAACAACAAGGACAGGTATAAGAACAACGGACAGCTTTTTTTTTTTCTTTTTTTTTTTTTTTCTTCGTTCAAGGATTAGAAATTGTAAGAATACCTCCATCATGTCATACTTCTAGCCTCTATCCTTCTTCTGGATTGAATTCATGCTGCTCTCAATTCACTACAAGTTTCTAGTGTCTGTGGGAGCAAAACAGCCCCACAGCATCACTCAGCCACTTCTCTACACTTAAGAGAATAGAATCCCGAAACCTCTTTGACTTATTTATGCAGTTGTGAGGAAGCTGGTGCTGGTCCGTCTGGAGGAGGTGCTGGTTCCTCAGCTTTGAGTATGTAGCTTGCAGAACCTCAGCTGCCGCTGCAGGTCTATTACGGTAGTCTGTGTCATGGATGTGGTCAAAGACATTGATAGGTTCTTCTGTGTCATCCAGGTGGAGTTTCCTTTGTTCCTTTAACTTCAGACATGTAAACAAGGCTTCCAAATGTTTTCTTTCCTGTTGTGTCTTTTTTCCTTGCCTTTTTCATCTGTTCTCTGAACTCTGAGGAGAGCTCCTTTGACGTTACTCTATTACTAATTTGCAATGAACAATCCAGATATTTAAGGTTTTCTTCTAAAAGTGCAACTAATCACCTAATGAGGCCATTGATTGGTAGCAGCAGATGTACCTCACTTCACACCCGATTCACTAATTTGTGCCTTTTGTAATATCTTGGAACGGATACTTCATATATTTTAACTGCTTTCCCTAAAGGCTTTTTTTTTTATCACCATAATGCTGCTGCTGCTGTTGCTGCTATCAGGATTAATGACGAGTTTATAAAATGAGAGTCTAGGGAGTATTTATATTCTAATCTAGTGAAGTTTTAGAAGAAAGAACACAGCAGCTAGATAATTATGGAGGGAATTTAGTTCTATTATTATTATTATTACAATCAAAGAGCATTTTTTTTAATGGAAATTTAAAGAAACGTGCAATTCTAGAAATTAAATAAAAAAACAAACATTTTGGAGGTTTTTGAGAGTAATTTTGCTGTTTTCTTAGATGTTTATTCTTTTCTCTCTTTTTTTCCCACAGATTTTATATGTTTAAATTTTCTATGTTTCAAATGTTTTACCAATACATTTCTATTTAAATGTTGTTTCACAGATCACGTTTTATTCACTTCAGGCACAATATAAGCTGTTGTCGCTAACTTTTATGCAGACCAATAGAAATATCTTCTCTCCTTACGCTAGAGGAAAGTGAAGAGAATATGATCTCTAAAACTCATTCTGATCAAATAAATACAATGTGAAATATAAAATCTTTAAAGAATATGGAAAAAACTTGAAAGATAAAATATGAAAATTATGTGGAGAAAAAAAGCAAAGTTACTCTCTAAACTTTTTGATTGAAAATTTTTTTTATTGCTTTTTTCTTTTCAGATTTCCATTCACAAAATGTATTATTTGCTTGCAACAATAATGGAGCAAAATTCCCTCCATAGTGATGACATTCACAGCAGCAGAAAAGCTGTGGTTTATTCCACGACTAAAGAAAAACCCCTTCGATGGTGTTGATGGCTAAATTCTGCTTGTGCTTGCAGGAGCCGTCCCGAGCGGCTGCTGAGCTGCTGAGGAGGCAGGAGGAGCTGGAGCGCAAAGCTGCAGAGCTCGACCGACGGGAGAGAGAGATGCAGTCACTCAGTGCTTCAGGAGGTCAGGATGCAAAGAACACTTTTATCTATACACTGAATTTTGATAACTGGGAAAAAATAGTGCAATATATAGTGATATTTAGGGCTGAAACAATCGGATTAATCAATTAATTTAGTAATCGATCAATCGTAAAATGGAGTCTAGAGACTCTAAGACAGTGGTTCTCAAACTTTTTCTGTCATTCCCCACTTTGGACAAGGGGGAATTTTCAAGCCCCGCCTGTCCCCATCGCCCCAACATAATGGTAATGAAATATGAAACAATCTTAAAATGTTCCAATTTTATTGAAGTAACAAGTAGTATCTAAATACAAACTATCTACATCAAATAACAGCAAGCTCAAAAATAAAGAAAATAAAAATGCAGCTGTGTCAAAATTTGTATCAAGCTCAAAGATAGAAAAAATTAATGTGCCACTCTGCAATCTGTTAATAAAAGAAAATAAGTGAAATCCAACAGGCAAGACAGGTCTATTTATCCCTGCATTAGTGGCTGCAATGGGCCTGTTTTGCATTGCACAGTTTCTCAAAACGGGGTTGCAGGCTTGATACTGCCACTCTCAAGTCATGCTTTGTTTTCAGTGAAGCAGCAGCTGAAGAGCCCATCTCACAGAGATATGATGTGGCAAAGGGAAGAAGAATGCACACAGCTCTCTGCCCGATGAGTGGATACTCCCTCTCCACTCCAAACTAGAAACATGAACATGTGGCTGTGTGAATCAAACGCCGTTATTTATTTAAGATAAAATATTTCAAATTCAGTTATTTATGATCAACCTGCGCTGTCAATCCCGGCGCATGTGCGCTTCATTTGCAGTCTGGACGCTGAGGGTAAACATGCTGTGTCTCTGCAGCGCTGAGAGGGACTCCTGCGATAGCGGGGGAGAACGGGGTTGGGAGGGAGGAGGCGCCCCACGGCAGCAGGACAAGAAAAGGAACGATACGTGCTTTCCCGTAACCCCCAGATTCCACATACTCCGTCAGCGCTCCGCTCCGCTCCGCCCCGCTGACGTACGTCGTGCGGAGCGCTTGTCTTTCATGGAAATCAATGAGCGCTGTTCCACATCCACCGCTACTCCTCCGCACGTCTCCGTCCACGTATGTCTTCTCCGTCCGTCACCGACAAATTACGGAGCCGAGCTATTTTTTGCTCCGCTCCGGCCAGGTCAAGATCCGCAATTGCAATCGCACCAAACAGGAAAAAGAACCTCGACAAATTCCGGTTCGTCAAATTAAAATATAGTAGCAACAGATCGGTGACTAGAAATTATAGCACAATTCTTATAAATATCTAAAAAAAAAATAAAAAGAATAACACCGTTTATTTAAATGATTGGATCCAAACTATTGGTTATTCACCAACCAGGAAGCAGATTTCTCATCTCCATTAAAATATTTATTTTATACCGAGGGACTTAAAGTTTAATCAAATCCATTCAAAAGAAACTTCTTATTACATGAATGAAAAGAGATGCTGAGTTGTAGAGAACAAGTTCATTAAAAAAAAAAAGCAGTTTTGAATTATCCTTATCTCTGTTACAAAAATCTACAAAAAAAAAAATATATATATATATATATATTTGGGCAGAAACTGAACATATGCTGGATGATGGTGGGATTTTTTTAATATGTCATATTAAATTAAGCGCTCACAGGGTTCATACAGGAATGAGTGACTCTAATTTAATGCTATTTTAATGCTATTTGAAATGATTTTAATGCCATTAACAAGAACCATGTACACAAGTTATTAGTGTACATGAAATATGGAGCTGTAAGCACAGTTCCATGACTCCTGTATGTATGTAAAAACACACACACACACATATATATACGTATATATATTCTCTAGCTTTTTCTCCGCCTCGAGCTTCCTTTCCGAACATACGGCTTTATAAACAGTTCCACGCAAATTAATAGCGATATAATATATCTGACGAAATTGTTTTTAGAAGCATTTTTATTAAAGAATCATAAATGCAACGATAAACATATTTAATTAATTTTAGTGCCAATTAAGGGCTTGATTAAAAAAAGAATTATGAATTGTAATTATTTTTAATGATCCGCGGAAACCCTGGTTCATCTGGTGCATGCCCTCTACGATCTCCAAGGAACTCAGAGAGGAGGGGACGGAGCCACAGCGGCGGCTGTAGGCTTTGCTTTGTGCAGGCGGTCTGGAGCGGAGCGGAGCGGAGCGCTGACGGACTATGTTCTCCAAAAGTCGCTAGATTTGTCGCTAGTCGCTTTTTTGAAAAAGAGTCGCTGGAGGGGTCTGAAATATGGCGACAAAGTCGCTGAGTTGGCAACACTGGGGCGCGAAAGTTTATTCCGTTACAAATAATATGCCGACGTCACGTCAATCATCATTTTGGCACTTCAGTTCCAGGTGAAATTTTTCTCATATCTAATGTTCTTTTAATTAGACTGCATGTAGGCTAGTAATGATTACTTTGTGGGTTTGATTAGTCTAAAAAGCGGCAACATACAGCTATAAGGACAGTTTGCTCTCACACGTTATAGTCACACACACACACACCGGAACTTGGCGCGCCCCACCTGTCACGTCTCAATTCCCCACCAGTGGGTCGCGCCACACACTTTGAGAACCGCGGCTCTAAGACATGCCTTTAGCTGACAGAGCAAACCACTTAGAGCAGTAATTATACCATAACTGTAAAATGAAAAAAATGTAAACATTTTGCAGTCAAAAGTATAGTGAAGGTTTTTGAGGATTTTTGAAAAGATCCGCCCTCTTCACTTAAGAAGAATGCACATGCACAACCCTGTACCTGCTCCAGAGAGGGAACGCTTATTGAATGTATGTGAGAGCGTGCACGATCACATTTCTCCTCATGCACGCTCTGTTTAAAAGTTGCTGTTCTAGTGCACATGACCCATGTATGGAGGCTTTAGTCCTTGACGCAGCTGACCCGGGTTCGAATCCTACCCATGGTACTTTGCCACATGTCTCTCCCCCTCTCTCATTCCCCCTTTCCTGTCAGCCTACTGTCCAGAAAACCAGTACCGTAAAAAAAAAAAAAAAAGTTGCTGTTCTCACAGCTCATACAAGCTTACTGTGTCTACCTGCCCCAATCCCTAAATCCCTCCACCACTTTATAGAGTGACACTATAGAGTGGACTTTATAGCGAACTCAGCTTAACTGACCATTCAGAGAAAGATGATCTCTGCTTTTAGCTCCCCATTGGTTACATAATTCTCCCTCCACTGCAAGGTTCCTGTGCTATCTTTGTTATTAGTCGCCGCTGTCGGATAGCAACAGCCTTTGCCCATAGCAGGCTGCTCTGACAGCAAATCCCATAATGCTTTGTGAGAGCTCTTCACGAAAAACATTCTGGGATATATCTCTGCTTCTTCTGAGGCCTTTCTTTTCTTCTCATACACTTCGTAGACACTTTTTCTCTTACAATCTTCGGCCATTTTCCTCGAACGGCGTTGAGAAAGGTGAGCTTCAGCGACTGTCTGAAACTGTAGCTCACCAAAGATATACGCCTGAAAGTGCATGCGCAGATAACGATAGCAAAGAGGACGACCAGGTATTACGGCCTTACGTAAACGTATCACCAGAATGATTGACAATTAGGAGAACCAGTTATTTCGATGATCCACCCGGAAATAAAAGATCATCCTCTATACCTTTGGGAGGAAAAAACTTTTTCATCTGCCAACATGCTCTATCCAGAACTTAGTTTCACCTGTTTTAATTTTGTAAAGTCTTCTTTTGCTACCTGATTATTAAAGTGGTCATAGAATGATTCTATAGGGTATTTTGTGCTGGTCTTTAAGGTCTGTGAACAGGGTGTGTAACATTGGTGGTGGTGAAAATGGCATATTTGTTGTTCTATGAGCCCTAATGCAAGCCTGGTTATAAGCCCTAGAATGAAACGACAGGTTTTCTTCCTTTTTTTTTATGCTCATGAATAGTTAGATGAGCTGTGCGCTGATTGGTTGGGTTACAACGAGCGAAGCTGCTGAGCAAAGACGCATCATAGCAACAAGCACTCACTCACTGAAACATCAAATTGTTGATATGGTAGGGTGACCAGACGTCCTCTTTTTCCTGGGTATGTCCTACTTTTCATACCTAAAAAAAATGTTCGGGGGGATTTTCAGCTCGTAGTTGAAACAGGGAGCCAGCGAGGGACGGAGCGTCTGACCCTGACCTGGTGACGGTAGCCTGGACAGCGAAAACCCAAATCTGGTCACCATAGATATGCTAGCATTGCTATAAACAGCTTAGAGACGGAATCATACTTCCAGTCTGTGGTTGTGATGGCCTTACGGTCGGAATAGTCCCTTGTTTCAGTAAAAGAAGTTTAGCAAATGCTGCTTTGAACTGTCCAAGATTTTGAAAGCTGTCTTCGGTAAAATGCTTAGAACAAATGAACAACTGCATCAGACTTTGCAGGGATCTTCTGATAGACGAACAATAATCCATGCCTGTCAAATCTTCGGATCCTTGGGAAGACTGTGAAAATGTTCCCCTTTCTCCGTGTAGCCAGGAACGCTGCATTTCCGCCTGTAGTTCTGGCTCATTTTCAATAGAGAAACTGCCTTCTTTGTATTTCTTGTAGAAGTAAACCCAACTGTAGGCTAAACAACTAAACTGGTGTCTTATATCTCCCTCTATTCATGTTCTAGCCTGTTTTATGGTGGAAGTTTATAATTGTGAGATTTGCATAGAAAGGAGATGTCAATGGGGTTTGAACTGCTCTGTACGTCCATTTCACCCGCTGAACTATCGTTATTCATATATGACGATGTAAACTAGGTTTTGCATTCTATGACCCCTTTAAATGATTAATCCAAAAGAATCAACAGATTAATCAATTTAATCATTAGTTGCAGCCCTACTGATCATGATAATAGCGTATCGTGACACACGTCGTATCGCAACACCCATGCCAAAGCTCACCCCTAATATTCAATGCCCACCCTATTAGCGTGTTAAATATGTTATTTAATCAATTAACTTTCGGACTGTCATATATTGTTCTGTGAACACACCCAACTGGCCGTGCTGTTATTTCTTAATTTCAAAGTTATAGTAACTGAATGTTGATTCTTCCAGGAAGGAAAAACAACTGGCCTCCTCTCCCAGAGAGCTTTCCTGTGGGGCCGTGTTTCTATCACGACATCACCGTGGATATCCCTGTAGACTTTCAGAAGACGGTCAAAATCATGTACTACCTCTGGATGTGTGAGTAACTCCTCCGTTCCTGGTGTCTTGCCTTCACATCTCTTTTCCACACTGGCTCACATTAAAAACACAGACTGATTGGGCAGCATTAGAAAGCTTACAACTGTTTTTCAGCGTCCTTTGTTCTGACAGTCAGTGCAAACATTTTACAGCTTCCCTAATTAGGAGAGAACACCTATCTGTAACTGAATCTTTGTATAAATCCAGCTTTTCTGTGAAGGTATCAGATATAGTACAAGAAGGACATTTATAAGACGTTTGAAGAGCTTAACATTTAAAGATTACACCACAGCTTTAAACATACCTAACGATGTCTATTTAACAAACAAACAAAGGTAAAGAAAAGAGGTTTTATAATGAGAGAAGCAGCCAAGTTAACCTCAGTTAACTTCCATTTTCCCCTAATGGCAGCATCATGAGGCATAGAGCTGATCGGGCGACGGATGAAAACTAAACTCCTACGTAAAATATTTTTTAACATTGAGTGTTTTTGCTACATGTCCTTTGTCCCTTGGTCAGGTTTTTGACTTCCAGTCCATCATAAGACTGAAATAAATTAGATTTAACAGTTACTATTGATAAATGTCTCAGAATTCCCAATTTGACATGTTCGCATTTTATTTTTTTTTAATTGTAAAAAAAAACACCCGTCCCCAGGATTCACGTTCATTTTGCCAGAAAACATAGCTTTTCACCTTTGCTTACTGAAAACCTCATCAGTTTTTATGTGACAGGAGAGCTAATGGCAGAGTAGCAGTGTTCGCTCCATGGAAGGAAGGATTGAAACGAGAAAAAAAGTTCTACAAAACCGAGATTAGGTTTATTGGTTCAAACACCTCATATTTCCTTTGAATGTTCAAATAGTGAAAAAAAAATATTTTATTATGTGTATTTTAAGTATATTTTATACTAATTTTAAAACAGAGAAAAGCATGCTAATTTTAAAAGGGATTTTAAAAGAAATGCTAAATATAATGGTCATTTCAAGAACAGCCTTTTCCATTAATAAATAATAATAAACATAATAATAGATAGATAGATAGATAGATAGATAGATAGATAGATAGATAGATAGATAGATAGATAGATAGATAGATAGATAGATAGATAGATAGATAGATGAATATATGAGGCTGCTGCTGCTGCTGCTGCTGCTGCTCTGAAACAGGGAATGCTCAGTGGTAATAATTAAATCCAAATGTCACCTATTGCACTAACTAATGTTGAAACGCATATATACCGGGGGTGACACTAGCTGTTGTGAATAGGGCTGGGTAAAAAAATCGATTTTGAATCGATTCCTTAACATTTTTGCAAAATCGATGTCTAGGGAATGAGATCGATTCACTTTATAGTGACGCACGTGACGTTTACGACGTTCACATTCAAATGAGCAAGTAGATGCACTCAAGATTCCTTCAAGCCAGACAGCTGCAAATATAGCCAATAGGTTGACTGAAGACATTAACAAATGGGGGCTGACCAGAAAACACCCTGTAGTTGTTACAGACAATGCTGCAAATATGGTTTGTGCAGTGGAGATAATGCAGCTCATGCATGTCTGCCGTGTCACGTCTGTTTGCTCGAGTGACGGCTTCACTTTTCACAAACAAGTTTGCACTTTTGAGACAGTTTTGCTCACATCTCAAGTTTAATTTGTCCAATTTACAAGTTTGCACTTTGTGTTTAATGTGACAGGGGAAAAAAATACATGAGTGTTTTGAAACACAGTTGAACCACTTTCATTATTGTAAAAACAGATTGAATCGAAATTAATTGATTTAGAACAGTATGAATCAAAATCGAATCGATTCAAGACTTTGGCTAAAATACCCAGCCCTAGCTGTGAAGTTTCTCTGAAATAATAAACTCCAGAAACTCAAGAAAAAAAACTGTTCTGACTGAACAATCACTTTTCTCTCACCACCTGTTAGGAAAACCTCACAGTTTGGCCACTGTCAGTTAAAAATTCAAAGTATGTTTGCCAATCAGCATCTAGCTGCCAGCTTCACGACACGCCCCTCCTCCTTAGAACCCCTAAGAAGTTTAGCTTAATTGGAAGTCACGTATTTCGGCGTTTTAGCCAATCAGGGCTCTACTTTACTCTGCTTACTTCAATAGACCAAGACTAAAACCTCAACAGGGACTTTAGTGCATATTTAATGCCGCTTAGTCACTAGAAAATGCATATTTTACCATTAAATATAGAAGTGAAGCCTTCCGTATATCTATATAAAGATATCAAGATTTATAGACCTAGATGTATAGAAGGTTGAGTTTATAGGCTGGCAAAACAAGGAAAAGGTTAATGGGGTGTGAATACTTTTCCTTGGCGCTGTGTTGTCAAATACCTGTGTTTTTTCCAAAAGTACTACATTGATAATAAAAACTGATAGTTATTTGGAGTAAGGAGACAAAAAGTTTATGTTTTAGGAACAAATTTGGCAGCTGATCACCCCTCCCCCCCCTCCACATGACCAACACATGCTGTGATCATGTGTTCATTTGAAAGGATGATTTTCTTGAAGGCTGCTGTAGATTAAGTCCTGATGAACGGCTCAGATCCAAACAGTTGATAGAACCAACTGAGAGGCACAGTCTGTTACCCAGCAGCCTTCTGCTATATTCCACACTGGTATGAGATCCTGGAGTCTCTCCTGAAGTGACGCCTTTATTTGGATTTGTAGAGCAAATGCTACTTAGGAAAATAAAGAAATGCCTGTTCTGTTTCCCGGATCAACTTAGTGTCAAATGTTAAACTCTTAAGCATCTGTTTCCTTCAGTGAACTCTTCCACTGCACAATGATAGATGCAGAGTGGCTAGATGTCCCAGTTTCAGCAAAATGCTTCTTCCCCTGCTTTCAGTTCACGCTGGGACGCTGCTGGCTAACCTGGTCAGCTGTCTAGCCTGGTTCTGTGTGGATATGACCCGAGGGGTGGACTTCGGCCTGTCCATCCTCTGGCTTTTGCTCTTCACGCCGTGTTCCTTCGTCTGCTGGTACCGAACTCTTTACGGCGCTTTCAGGTGAACAGGAGGAAAGGAAAATCTACAGGACGGGGCGGGGAAAGGCAACGCTTCTGTCTTGCTCATATTCATGTCTTTCCTGCAGGAGCGACAGCTCTTTCAGATTCTTCGTCTTCTTCTTTGTGTACATCTGTCAGTTTGGCGTCTACGTTCTCCAGTGCATTGGGATTACTGGTTGGGGCGCAAGGTGAGTGCTTCTATGCTTAAAGAGAAAGAAAATTTAAAGGTGCTGCAACTTTAAAAGAATATTCCAGCTTTAGAAATAAAAATGCAACAGGATGAAAGCACACTTTTTGTCTAAATAATCATAACCTGCTATTTAATTTATGCAGTGTCTTTAAATTCATGTTAAATTGCTTTTAGAAAATAAAAAATTAAAGGGTTTTATTTAAGTTCTATAATTTTCTTCCATCTAAGCGGTTGGATATCCGCTCTGACTGGCCTGAACAAAAGCATCCCAGTGGGCATCCTAATGATCCTGGTTGCAGCTCTCTTCACCTCCCTGGCTGTTCTGTCCCTCATCATGTTCAAGAAGGTAAAACCTTTTATTTTAGTTTTAAAGTAACATCTGTTAAAGTCTGGTTTTACCTGCTCGTCCCGTTCGATCATAACTCAGATCCACGCACTGTACCGCACCACTGGCGCCAGCTTTGAGAAGGCCCAGCAGGAGTTTGCAACAGGCGTCATGTCCAACAAGACGGTCCGAACAGCTGCCGCTACCGCCGCCTCCACAGCTGCACAAGGAGCGTTTAAAGAGCAAGTCTAATCAACATGAGGAGACGAGTCCTCTGGGCCCATCAGAGAGCGCAGGCAGCTGTCAGACGGAACTGCAGGGGCTTATGGGAGGGCGTTGATCCAGCGGAGAACAGCCTCAGTGTGAAACCATCACCCGGAGGATCCCTGGGGCCTGGCTGTGCCGTGGACTCGGAGACCTCCCCCCCTCCGCTGCACTCTAAGCTGGGCTTCCTCTGTGTGGGTTTGTGTGCATGTGTGTGGCCAAGTTGCTAAATGTTTGTGTGCCTTTTTGAATGTGTGCTGTCGCCTGTGGGTCAGGGACGGATTCTTGAGCCGACTCCTGAGATCTTTGGGGGGGGTTTACCCTCCATCAACCACTTTGGGATTACTTAAACTCTAATCCAAATGACTCGTTTCTAATATTAACAGGTTTGTTTTTGGCTTATAAAAAAGGAAAAATGTCTTCTTGTATTTTCAATCTATGCTAAAATAATAAGGTGCATAATTTAATCCCACTAACCCTTAGTGAAGCTATAATGTATTGCAAAAATATGAATGCTGTGCATTCTAGGTCACGGCCTCCTGTTCTGCTTTTTCTTTTCTCCCTCAGTTTCTACTTCCTTTAAACGGGCCTCACTTGAAATCTTACGCTCCCCGGCTGCAAGGTTGTAATCCAGATTGAGTTAAAGAGAAATCTCATGTTAAAGAATCTGCATTCAGGAGTAAGGTGTCTGTAGTTGTAGTACAACAATAGTCCACTAGATGGCAGTGTTTGTTAATCACGATCATTTGTCTTTTTCTTTGGCGAAATATTTAACTTCTATGTAAATTAATTTAATCTGAGACACTGGGATTAGGATTCACCATAATTAAAATGTTTCAGGCTGTCATTTCCTCACTTAATTTTTAGCCTAATGTCAGAATTTTGTTTGGGCCATTCTAACACATTATGTTCTGCTTTAAATGTAAACACTTTGGTTGTGGCTTTAGAGCTAGAGTTTAGTTCTTTCAAAATGTAAATATTTACGCCCTCCATGTATTTAGCTTCATTCTTCTTCCCATCATCCCTCACTAGTTCAAATGGTACTCTTTCTGCTCACCTCATTTGCTCTGTTCTATCATAACTTTAAACATGAAAATACCATACAGACTTGGATAAGAAAATCATTAATCCAACATTCTAAAAAATATATATTTTCAAATACCTATTTTTCTATAGATGTCTTGAACTCCGAAGTGCTTTCCAAGGCCTTAATGTCTCCTATTGTAGAGCCTGTGTTGTATTATTTAGTCTTAATTCGGTGTCCTGGGTAGATTAATTCCTCCGTGTTTCGTACTGTTCAATCATTTTGCTCCCAAACGTACATTTTTTAAGTTACAAAGCAACAGGTCATTCATTAAAAAGGACTATTTCTGCATGGTAAATACATATTTAGCTGTTATTTTTCAGATTTTGATCATGTGATAAAATTGTAAGGGGTTTTAAGCATAATGTAGTGTGTTACCATGGCGATTAATGTAGATGCAGAGTGGCTTATTGCAGTCAGCGTGGTTTGGTATGTACACTTAAACTTTATTTATCTAAAGCCATTTCTGACAACTGCAGGGAGAGGATAATAGGAAGGATTGTTTGTATATTTCTGAATGGTTTGGTGTCATTCTAAGATGCACATCGGTTTTACCTTGAGTCATCTGTTAAGTAGTTAGGTAGTTGGACAAATTTGATTTTTTTTTTTTGTATATTTATTGTTCTGATGAATAAAATTTGCCGCCTTTGTGTGTTCCATTACTTCTTTATGCTTTCATGTCGACTCGTAGTGCCAGCTAAATGCCACAGGGGGTCACTAGTTTTCTACCAATCTCTCTTTTATGGCTTTATAATGAAGGGAACCTTTATAAAGCAGCAAACATCTTTCTCCCCTCTGTCTGCATCTCATCTTGTAAATTTACTGAAATCTATGATTCTGTAAAGTTACACTGGACAAAAAAAAAACAACTGTTATTTTCCTTAAGGAACATAACATTAAAAAATATATATTTGCTTACTCAAGGTTTGTTTCCTTTTGATGCGTAAGTGTTTTAATAGTTTCCAATAATTTATTAAAATGATTTATACATTGCCTGACCTTCCCTATATTTAACATCAGCAAATTTTAATATAACAAAACAAAAACTGCATTTCTGGATTGGAAAAGAAATGTGTTTTTAAAACATATTTCAGGAAAAAAAACATAGGTGATTTTCATATTTCTTTACATGCTCAAATATATGATACACCTAAACTCCAGTGTAATTAGTTATGATTATGATAAATGTAGTTATTCTGTTAAGACCTTGGAGTTTTTTTTTTTTTTTTTTGAGAATCTTCGTGCACAAACCTCATCTCTAAGCCCAAAGAACCCAGTAGGTAGATCAAGGGGAAAATTAGGGAATAAAACGACAACCCTGAAAACATTAGGAATTTAAACGTTTGACACCAAGTCTACCTTATTCATTAATACATTAGTTTTCAAAACTCTTAATCAGTGTATTTTTTAAAACCTGATTTGTGAATAGAAATACCTAATGTATCACAGGATTGAAACTTAATTGGTTATGAAATTATATACATTTAGATATTTTTCTTTTATGTTTGCTTTAAGTGAAGACTAAATTGGAGGGGGGAAAAAACTATTTCACATTCAAGCTTTTAAAGCTGCAACAGTGGTGGGATTAAGAAATCTGTGGCCCAGGGGGAGGGCAGTCATGGGGCCCTCTGAAATGGAGAATTAATTTTTTTATATAGCACTAGTGGCTTGTTATTTGTACGTTGGGCTGACAGGAAAGGGGGGGGTACGAGAGACATGGAGCAAAGGGCCACAGGTCGGACCTGGGTCGGCCACATCGAGTTCTAAGGCCTCTTTATGTGGGTCGTCCACGCTAACCACCGCGCCACTGAAGCACGCCCTTCTATTCTCTTTTTGCCACTTTTTTTCTTGTCCTCTTTAGTTTCTTTCTTCATCCATTTTTTTTTTCACTATTCTTTGCCTTTTCTCCCTTTAGTCCATAAAATCTTATTTTCAAGTCTTTTGCCCTGCAGTGATTCATATCACTGATTTAAGAGCCCCCAAAGCCTGAAGGTTTTTCGTGGAAATTCAGCACACACAAAAAAATTATAAAAATTAGTTTTTGTTTTTGTGACAAATATCAAACTAATTTCTATATATTAGATCAGGACATCCCAAGTCTGCATACAGTTGCGCTTGAAAGCTTACACACCCTTTAATTAAAGAAAACGATAAATTCACACCAGTAATTCAAATATCACAGAATGAAAAAAGTAACAAGTTACATTTACTAAATGATAATTTATTAAAAATAAAAATATTGATTTTGAGTTTTTCTTTTCATTGTTCAATTTCAATTAATTTAACTGGCAGTTAATTTTTCTGTCTTTAATGAAAGGGTATGTAAACCTCTCAAAAAACTATATATACAGCTGTAACAATATCATGTAAAGATATGAATGTATTCCCATTTCTTATATATATATCACTCAAATGTTAGCAATAGACATACATGTTAAACAATATTCTCTATTATGTTGTAATAAGATATTCTCAATCTTAAATGATTGGGAAAATATTACTTATTCGTTTTTGTGTGCACCTTAAACTTCCTCAAACTGTGTTTTATAAAAGTATTTCAATAAAAAATACATAGGAAGTATGTATAGTAAATGTGTGCTATATGTTTTAGCATGCCGAAAGTAATTTGGCTGTAAAATCAAATTGTACACTCCAAATCTAAAGGGAAGGTAATATACATTTCCTACACATACATTATATATACTTTTAAATAATACAGATTGATTTATCTATTTATGTATATGAATTACACAAATACAAACTATGCACTGTGTATTCATGTATTAACCTGTAGTATAGATATATTGCATCCATACAGGTTATATAAATCCATATTTCAGCTTTGTGTGTGATCATAACTGTATTACATCTGCACCGTCTTTATATAAACTGGAAAAAAGCTAAATGTTTCTGATTTTCAAATCACAACTGTGACATAAAGTTAAGTCACAAGGAACTAAGTATATCCGTCTAAGTCCTTTAATTCTTCAATGTGTGGCCATTATCCTAAAGAGTAAAAACAAGAAAAAAATCATCCTATCAAGGTGTGAAAAGAAACAAATGTCAGAGGCTCTGGCTCTTTTCAGTCTCACTCCACAAAGTTGAAAACCAACCCTGAAGCCCCTGGCAGCTAATTAGGACCGACTTTCTGCAAGTGCTCTTTGGGTTGGAGGATTCATCAAGACGATTGTCTGACGAGGAAGTCGTCAGATTCTGTGTTTGGTTCGAGCAACGCCTGCGTTAAGAAAGAAAAGGGGCCACAGGGTCATGCCAACAGCTTTGCTGAATGCCATATGAACTGAGGAACATCTGGGCAGAGATATATCCTACTTGTTTCCAGAAACAGCTGCTCAGGCAGGATGGAAGTGTTGCTGGAAAATGTTAGCAACACAAGAGCATACCAAGTGTTTTGTTTCTGTTTTGGAAAGAGGTTTACTATGGCTTTCCAACACAGGTAACCTTTGCTATACTTAAAAAAAACGTGACTTAAAACTAAATTCCATTGAATTAAGATCTGGACACTGATGCTCCAGGGCAGAGGTCCGAACTCAACCTGATTTAAAACATTTATAAATGACTTCGACGTCGATGTCAAATTTTACTTATGGTAAAGCCCTCCGGAGCGTCCAGCACCAGGCTACACGGGACACAAATTAGTCAATGAGCTGCTGTCAGTCTGGGTCGCTGCTGCTGCTACTTTTAGACACAGCAGGCAAACCTGTGGCAAGCCGGGCGATGAGAAAGAAGGAGAAGATGATGAGAAAAAGTGAAAGAAAGTGTGGACTGCTGGAAGAAATGCGGTGAACTGGTGAAAGAAAAGGGAAATGGCGTGATCAAAGATGACCCTGCACATTTAGAGAATGTTTGGCTCAACCTGCTGCTGAAAAGCAGGATTCTCCACCATGAACATAATCAAAAATAAATATTGATCCAGGCTCAAAATGAACACCTTGATATGTGCTTTAGAACGGCTTTATCTAGATTCAAACCCAGGTTTAAAGCCTTGCAGGGCAGCATAAAGCCAACTGCTCTCATTAAGCCAGAAAAAAAAAGAAAGAAAAAAACAAAAACAAATGTTTAGTTCAGGTGTTTTATAAAATATGTGTTTTGTGACTATTTGTACAAAACTAAAATTCAAAAATAAAAAAACTTAATGTCATGGTCTTGGTTCTGTTGTGCTTTACTTTGCTCCTTGTTTTCTATTTTTATTGGTTTAATTCCTATTTGGTTTTAGTTTCTAGATTTATGTTAGTTCTCCGGTTTTTCTGTTTTTGCCCTCTTGTGTGTGTTCCTTTTCCCTCGGCTTCCTCGTTGTCTCCACTCACACCTGCTCCTTATCTGCTCGTTAACCCTGCCTTTGTTTCAGTCAGCTTCATATATTCTCCCTCTGCTGTCACTCTTTGTTGTTGCTGGATCTCTATGCTGTTTTTTTCCTACCTCGTCTCTCCCTGACTCCTCGTGATTATTTTCCCCTGATGTCTCCATGGTTCTGGTTGGGTTTTCGTTATTAGTTGGATTTTTGGTTTCCTGCCTTTGTTTACTGTTTTTTCCCCCATTAAACAGCAAGAAATCTCGACAGCCTCTCTGCCTCTGGGTCCTCAAACCTCAACCAAACCTCGACACTTATGACTTAAAGGTGAATTCAACTCAATCAGCCACCTGATGCACCGTGGATTCTGGCTTACGCAGTCCAAAAATATCAAAAAAGGGTCAAAATCCAGTTCTTTGCTTGCTTTATTTCTCCGTAAAGACAAACAGGTTACAGGCTGCACAGGGTTCTTCTATTGCTCTCACTCTGATTGATTGACTGAAAACTAAGAACTGTGATTGAAAACTGTTAAAAAGCTATATGACCACCCATGTGCAAAATGAGCTACCTAACACCTACCTATTTATACTGTGAAACACACACATCCCAAGCTAAATTAATTAACTAATTAACTGAATCCCTAAACAAATCCTATTTTAAATAACAAATTAAAATAAATAATCCAAAATCTAAGATTTAACTGAAAATGGAGACATAGCTCCTACAATGGGAATCAGGAAATTGTCTATATACCAAACTGACGGATTTTTGTTCTCTACTTCAAAAAACACTTTAGTTTTTAAAATTGAAAAATGTTTTTTTTTTTTTTTTTTTTTTTATTATTTAAGAATTCAATGTATAACATGGATGTATAAAAACCTCATTTTATTTCAGTGTTAAATTCTATTTAAAGTAACAGATTATAATAAAAAATGTCTCCAGACCTTTACTGGTTGTTGATTTTTGTATTCGGACCCCAAAGATTTAAGGGATGACTATCCTTTGATCCTGGCATAGGCTGCTATTAACCTGCACCAAAGACTCCTGCCCAAAAGTGTCCCAGTGATTACAGACCTTTTCCTTAACATCAGTTATCATGAAATGTTTTCAGAGCCTCATCCAGGATGCTAGACTTCCCTCAGATCTGGACCTACAAATTTGTCTAAAGAGCTAACGGATCTCTATGGCTCTGGCTCGCTGTACCTCACCCAGCATTGCATAGATCCGGTTCTCTGGACGAGGGATTTCCTGGCTCCACCTGCTCCTTAGCATAGCCTCTCCTCAGGGCTTTTACTGACTCTTCTCCTTTTTCACTCTATACCCATTAATCTCTGGCCTTGTCAGCAGAGAACC